GTGTCCCAGAGGTGCTTTTTCAAGAGGCAGCTAGATTTTCTTTGTTTTTCTTTGAAGACATTTTGCTTTTCATCCAGTACTGAAGAAGCTTCTTGGGAGAGAAGCGAAATGTTTTCAAAGAAAAACAAAGAAAGTCCAGTTGCCTCTTGAAAAAGCACTTTTGGGACAACCATAACCTGGATGACAGAGAATCTCCCTAGATATTTGGACTTCTGGATATAAATGAACCACCCAGGCTGGGCCCATTTTATTCTTCCCAGCCCAACAAAGTAGCAAAGAAATGATTTCAAGCAGCTTGTGCCCCAATGCATCCCTATGGGAAAGGGAGTTGGGTGGGGTTTGGAATGCTGCCACTGCTCCATTCCAGGCCCTCCTCCTTCCTCATCATGTGAGTGCCTGGCTAAGCATATGCAACTTACCCGATGCTTCCTGGCCATGAGTCGAAAACAGAAACACCCAGAAATAAGGTGCTATTTGATTTCTCAGAAGAAGTATCATGCTCGTTGAAGGTTGTCAGGAAGAATTACAGATGCCATGCTCCACATGCCTTCTCTGGCTTGTTTAAAACCTCTTGCTAAAATCCTGGAGAGCCAACCAGCCCTCTGGTCAAGTAGTAGTAGTAATAGTTTTATGAGTAGGTGCAACTGAGTTTTTTTTTCCCCTGCTTGCTCATTCATGTGCATTTCTTCACAAATAAGTATTTTAATCATGGTAGAAATAGCACATAAGGATTCTCTGCAGTGGTATTTTTCTGAATCTTCATGTGAGCAGGGTGTGCCAATGTTTCCCCCCAAATAGCCTGAGTTTAATGGGTTAAGAAGAATGCATACCTGAAACTGAAAAATAGATACGGCACAGATGTATCTATGAAACCTCACGACAAAATTCACTTGGTGGTTTTAGGCCGGTGACTCTTTGCCACTTTGTCCTATATCAAATAACTTTTTGTGTGTGGACAAAAGTGGAATTTGCTAGGATGATTTTGCATGTTGCTCTTAAACCCTGGAACAAAAAAGAATATTAGTGAAATAAATAAAATGTTTAACTGTTCTTTTTAAAATATTTACTGTATTTTCTTGGGCCTGACTCCTAAAGAAGGATTATCATTTTAGAGTTGCAGACACCTTCGCCCTTAGATTGTACACTGCCAGTTGCAGTTTTCTAAAATACAAGAGAGAATATTTTATGATTTACAAAGACAACTTTACCATTTGATATTTCTTTAATGAAATGTTTTCATTAATTGAGTAGCAGAGTGATTAAGTAATTTTACTGTCAGCATAACTTGAGAAAGGGTAAACCAAAGATTTAACTACATGGCTAAAAGCTGCAAAATCATTGAGGTGGGAGGATTTTATCCACTGGAAGTATAGCATGACGTGTCAAATTGTCATCTTGAGTTACACAAGGTATTCCCTCCATCCCTTTCTCCTTAATTTGAAAGACACAGAAAACAATCTGAGGTGGCCAAAAGAACTTTCATGTTGGAATTTTCCCATTCAAAGACTTTCCATTAAATGCACTTGTTAGACCAGTCCTTCCTATCCAGTGTCTTCCAGGTTTAAGGGATTACGATTTCCAGAATCACCTTGGTTGTTGACTGACCTGTCTGGGAATTCTGGGAACTGTAGTTCCAGTGCATCTGGAGGATACCCAATTGAGGAGTGCACACTTTATTTGTGATAGCTGTGGGGAAGGATTTTTCAGCTCCCTGAGTAGCTGGGGCGCACAATAAAATAACTGTTTGGTAAGACGAGAAAATGGCCTTTTGTCTCGCAGTACCAGTTGGTATTATGTAGACTTGTTTGGTTTCTATTTATAAGGGATTGCAATTGGGAACTAGTTACAAAACAAATACTGCTATTCCAGTGCAATTTAACGATTTGTGAGATTATTTCTCATATATTTTGTAGATGATTTTATTCACTGACTATTAAAAAAAGCTTTTAACCCAACTAAACCTTTAGCACCCCTCAAAGATTATGCAGCATAACTTTTCTTAGAATCGCTCTCAAGCATTTGGATATTGCTTTTCAAAGTCTTGTGCATTGGGATTCTTATCTAAAAATTGCTTCTCCCTTATTTTTTGACCTCATTGATGGAAATATTACATATTGAATTCTTCCAGATAATAGAACAGGTGTGTTTTGCAAGAATCAGTCAGAGCAGTTTATGACTTTTCTTGTCTTCAGACCACCAGCATACAAGGAAGAGATATCAGTTGGGTGCTCATGCTGGATTAACATGCCTTCTCTTGCAAAGATGCAAAGTTGTATTTAGAACAATGAAAAAAAAACCCAAGAAACTCCTGGGACTGTTAGGTTCCAGATAGTATATGTCTCTTTTCAAAAGACTATCAACAGTGGTTCATAATGCTTAGATACCATTTAGACAGAGATAAAGCATACTAGTATTTATAGCAGCTTTCTCCAACGTGTTGCCCATAACAGTGTAATTGCCATAATTTCCAGGAAGTGTAGGTGCATCCCATGCAGACTGGGAATTTTGAGAGCTACAGTTCAATAGGCCTGAGAGGCACTAGGTTGGAGAATGCTGGTCTATAGAATAGGGTAAACCTACTAAATCATCAGATTCAAGTATGACGACTTAGGGTCAGGCTGCAGAGCATGTTTCTGGAATTCTTCCAGTTTTTAATGATAGCTCTGCTCTGGGTCCCATGAGCAAGAGGGAGGGGAACATTCCAAGCTGCTATCCAGATGCATTTCCCAAGGGTTTTTTTTTTCTCAACAGCTTCCAAACTGATCTAGATCTTTTCATACTGGATTTTTTTTTTTTTTGTATCATCATCTTCCTCCACGCCTGATTTCTGTCATGGTCTTTTCTGCTGATGGACGGACTGATAGAATCCTAGGACCTTTACAAAATTTGTTTCCAACATTCTGCTGGGTTGAAAGAATAAAAAGATGTCTCAGAGTTTCAGTGTCATTTTCAGCTGTTTGTTAGGCTGGTCTCTGATTTCCAGATCATTTCCTAGATTGCACTTGTGCCTTCATTGTAAAAACAGTTTTATGTGGATCCATGTAAAAGTTAGATGGTATAAAAGCATATTTAGTAAACAAATATGAGTGTAATATGTTAGGCTAACTAACCTCTCACCACAACATACCGTATTTCCCCCAAAATAAGACCAGGTCTTATATTAATTTTTGCTCAAAAGACGCATTAGGGCAGTGATGGCGAACCTTTTAGAGACCGAATACCCAAAAACTGGCCCTGCCGCTGCTCCACTCCTGCCCCACCTCCACCCCACCTGCCCGCAGGACCACTCACTGCCTCCAGGGCCCGCTGCAGTTCATCCAGCAGCGCCATGGCAGCCACGCCCTCTGCCGGGCGTGAGGGCAGAGTCTTGTCTACACTGCCTGGCTGCCAAGTCCTTGACTGCACTGCTCCACGTGGGCCATGCTCAGGGGCAACCCTTCTCCAGGAGGGCTGCTGGTGAGGAGGGTGTCACAGGTGGAGGCAAGGCTGGGGCAACAGTACATGTGCCCACAGAGAGGACTCCGAGTGCCGCTTCTGCACCCGTGCCACAGGTTCGCCACCACTGCATTAGGGCTTATTTTCTGGTCAGCTCTTATTTTCGGGGAAATACAGTACTAAATGCATCCGGCTGACAATCTTAACTGGAGTTTATTTTGGTGGTGGGGCTTATATTACGAACATCCAGAGATTTTGGAATTGGCATATGAATACAGTAGTTAATGCTTGGAAGATCTACTACATGTCTCTCTGTGTGTGTGTGTGTGTGAGTGTGTGTATATGTGTGTGTGTGTGTGTGTATATGTGTATTCATTTTTCAGTGGGTGCTGGTGGTGTGGATTCAGGCCAGGTGTGTCTCTGGGCACCTGATGGTCTTCCATGGAATTCATATTATGATTTAGGAAATTCTTTAGGTGGAATCTGTCAGTGTCAGAATTCTGTTCATGACTTAATCCAGCCATCCAGACTTTTCATTGGGAAAAACACTGGTTGTTCACAGTATATGTTGTAGAAAATTAAATATGTTGTAGAAAATTAAGGAAGGCTTCTGGTAGAAATTTCAGGAATTTTCCAAAGGAAAACATATGATGAAAATGTTACTTGATGTCAAATAATTGCATAAGAAACAAGATTAATGATGCTCTGAAGTTGATGTTGGTGTTATATATTTTAATGCTTGTTGAAATTATTCTGAACTCATGCTTTCTAATAACAATACAGTATGTAATATTTTAATGATTTTTTAAAAAAATCTTTGGCTTCAAATGTGCAGACATATACCCATTAAAAATCCTTGCGTTTTATTTTTCATTAATTAATCTTTTTCACTTAGAATTGTCCTTTGGATTTAAAACACGAATCAAATTATATGAAAGCCATTTGGGAAATATCGAGGGGCTGCAGGGCTGCACGTTCTTTTACTCAGAAGTAAGCCCTATGTTTTTGAGTAGAGTTGCACATTGTGTTCCCTGTGTAGGACTTCTATCCTGCTTTGCTGTCAGGAACTCAAGGGTGTGTACATAGCATTCATTCTTGTAAATTTCCTTTGAAACAATCTTGTGAGGTAGGGTTGAGCTGGGTTGAGAGAGGGTGACTGAGCCATAGTTACTGAATGAGCTTCTGTGGCCAAGGGTGGATAGGAATCTGGGCTGGCCTGGTCTAGTCCAGTACCTTAATCACTATCCCACACTGAAGTAGGAACACTCTTGCAGAGGATTGTGAGTGCCTTTGACGATTTGCTTTCCCCATAGCCTGAAATGTGTGTGTTGTCCCAATGAGCAGTTATAAAACCTTGTTTATGGCTAGGAAATCATTGGAAATCTTTGAAACTGGGGCCTTTTTGCTGGAAACGTTAAGGAGCCTTTACAGAGCCAACAGTGTCTGCTTTGTTCTTAGAGAAGATCCGAGTTTGGAGAAGAAGCTCTCTCTCTCTCTCTCTCTCTCTCTCTCTCTCTCTCTCTCTCTCTCTCTCTCTGTGTGTGTGTGTGTGTGTGTATGTGTGTAGGGAGGAGGGAGGAAAGGCAAGGGAGAGAGAGAGAGAGAGAGAGAGAGAGAGGAAACAATATCTTCTTTAAGTTAATACTTACTTGGAGTTCTTCCCTGATGAGCTAGCATCATGGGAAGCTTAATGCCCTGGGTTATGCTAAATAATAAATGAGGCACTCAGATGAGGGCCCTGCATGGTTAAACAGTAATCGCTTTATTTTCCTGGTGAAATATATATGCATGTATGCAAGCAAGGCAGAGCTGGGATTGGCTAGCGGCTTCATTGCAGATCCAGGTAGCATCTACTGACAGCTCTGGGTCATGTGATGGCTGTTAGGGTGGCTTTTCCACTCCCAGGCTGAGCTTGTCAGCGAGGGGGTTGGTCCCCGGCATCTTGCAGCTTCCAAGAATGTAGGAAATGAGTAGAGAGGAAGGAGGGGGATGCTTTGTGCCTTTCTGACCCAACCCCAGACTGGAGAGATGCGGGACTGTGACCCCCCTCCGGCAGGGAGCCTGATCACGAGGCTCTGCCTGTCTTGGTTTCCCTAAAGGAGGAGAAGAGATTAAATGGACCTTTGCGGTCTGCCTTGGCTGCTGAGGGGCACTTAGCCTGCTGATGAGTGAGGTTGGGCTTCTGCAGTCACATTCTCCAGGAGGAGACAAAGGAGGTGGGCTACAATACAGTCATGTTTGTTGTAGCCCATGTTCTGGAACGACCCCCAGGATGGAAAGGCAGGCTCTCCATTGTGAAAATACAGAGCAGCAGTTATCTTTGAATAGCCAGATTCTCCTTCCCGGCTTTCCGGGTTTTCTTTCTCAGGAATCCCCATCACCGCTGACTTTTTTTCTTCTTTGGGGGAATCCTGACTCCAAGAGAAGCTTCCTTCTGCATCTGTGGAAGTTGCCTCTTTTTTTCTTTCTCTGCTACAGCGTGGAAACCTCTTGTCTTTTCATTAAATTCAGGCTTCTCAAGCTGTCACCTGACAGTCTTGTAGTCCTGGATGACTGTGGATCATTTCTATTATTAACCTGATTTGGCAGCTGGTCTTAATAACAAGAGTTGCAAAAATTCTGAAAAGTGGAACCCGCCTGAGGGACAGAGATGCTTTCCAGGTATGATAAAATACTGTGGTATTTGGGCTCTGTTTAATGTAAGTAATTGTGTAGAAATAATGGTGTTTTTTTTAAAAAAATAATAATCTTGTTTTAAAATTAAGTTGCTTATAGCACAATCCTTACTCAGAAGTAAACTCCTAAACTCCTTGGGACTTCTAAATACCTTTTTATTAAGAAGATTGGATAGCATATCTTCTGTAGTTTTTATAAAGATATTTTAATCCTGGCTCCTGTTTAGGTCAGACTGCTTACATAGCAAGGACTATTCCCTAAAATAATTAACTGGTAAAAGTGTTCATGCATGCATTAAAAGCTTTGAGAATTATAAAAGATAAACTGGATACTTTATAAGTCCTCATATGTTATCCAACTGATTTATAGGGCATGTTCTTTTGGAAATTAAACATTTTTGAACATTTTGATGCATTTAAGCATGTGGCTAACTTTTCTACTGGCTTGAACACAATTTTTTAAAAAAACTTAACATGAACTGGATTAATCCCCATTATAATGTTAATATGTTTAGTGCCACAGTAGTTGAATGGGAAAAGAATCTCTCAGAATCTATATAATCTACCTTAACTGATGCTGTTATATTGCTTTTTAAAAATGGAAAAATTGGAGAGCAAACAGGAGAGCTTGAATCTGGAAGGCAAACAGAAATGGAATTTGAATAGTCCCTGGATAGTAGATAGAGGTGTGTGAAATGTTTTGAGTTTGAAATGTTTTGGGCACAAGTTTTTGTGGCTCAAGTTGTTCCAAACCATTTTGGTGAGTGTTTCAGATGTCTTTTGAATTCAGATCAAATACTTGTTTTGAGTATGAAATTCTTCTGGGATGGTTAGAACAACCCATTACAAATCCAGAACAGCTGTTTCAAAATTGAAATATTTGTATATTCTTACTTAGATGTTGGAGAAAAAAAAACCAAAGGAAAAAACTGGAGAGGGAGGGCCTAACAATTGAGAGAGATAGATGTGGGAACAATAGGAGAAAAAAAATCAGGCTGAGAATATTCAGAATTTAGGGCATATAAATATTTAGAGGCATATTAAACATGTTTGATTATTTTTTGTTAGAAGGCTATTGGAAGAGGTAGAGCACAATACCTGTATTCTGTGTGAAACAAATAAAAGGTTTTTGAGTTAAGCTGATACAGCTAAACTAGTAGATGAATGAATGAAGTTCACTTGTCTGACATTTATTTATTAAATTTATATTCCCTATGTGGCCTGACTCCCAGCCACTCCGAGCAGTTTACAGTTATTAAAACATTTTAAAACAAAGAACAATTCAAAAAATACTCAGAAAAAAACACAAAAGAACAACAGTGGCAAAGAAAACAAAGAAGGGAACAGAAAAGAAGAAAGGGGTACCAGATGTCCCCCCCCCAAAGGTCTGGGGAAAGAGCCAGATCTTTAAGGCACTTTAACATGGCCTTAAAGGGTGGGAGATGTTTAAATTTTGGGATGGGTGAGACTCATTCCAGAGGGCAGGCACTGCTACAGAGAAAGCCCACTTCTAGACAGGATCTAGACAGATGGCATTGCTTAATTGATAGAACCCAGATTGTACCAACCTGCCAGATTGAACCAGTTGAGCAGATATTATGGGAGACAGACAGTGTCTTAAGTAACCAAGAGCTATATCATATAGGGCTTTACAGGTAATGGCCAACATCTTGAATCACATCTGAAAATAAACTGGCACCCAGTACAGGTTGCAAAGCACAGGTTTTATACGGGCCTACAGGACCTCGCCCATCACTGCCTGCACCGCTGCATTCTGGAACAACTGAAGCTTCTGGGTGGCCTTTAAGGGCAGTGCCATGTACAGGGACTGCCCTTAAAGACCACACAGTAATTAAGCCATGAGGTGACCAAGGCACCAGTGACTGATGCCACCCCTCAATCTAGGAAAGGGCATAACTGAAGCTGGGCAAAAGCCTTCCTGGCCACAGCTGCCATCTGCTCATTGAGCAAGAATTGTTAAATACAAAAAGACCCCCCCCCCAAATTGCACACCATCCTTGAATGAGGAACTGCAACCCCATCCAAGATCATAGCTCATATATCCCCAGATCTGGGCAATCTAAATATCTGCAAACACTCAATCTTGGTTGGATTGGGTTCGGGGATGGCTTTTCCCCATCCGGACCCACACAGCGTTCAGGCATTGGGACAGAACCTCAGTAGCCTCACTTCTCTGGCCTAGAATTGAAGGATATAATTAAATATCAGCGTGGTACCAAATTGATATCAAAGTGGCAGATAATCTTTCCAGTGATTTCATATGGATGTTGAAAAGGAGGGGAGAGAGAATAGAAACTTGTGGTACGTCACAAGTAAAGGGCTTATAGGACAACCTTTCACCACCAACCACCATTGACTTATGTGTATATTTGGGAATGCTGTGTGGGAATAACTTAAGTAGATTTAAAGTTTAAGTAGTATTATATAGAGAAAGAACTTCCCTGAAATCAGAGCTGATATAAACTTGTAATATAAAATATTTTATTTTAAAAGCATGTTGAACCTCAGAAATGAAAAAGCATAAAAAACTGGTTGCAAGTTATCATAGAAGCAGAAACTAGAGTTAAGTGAGGAGTTTTCAATGTGAGACTAATATACCATGCATAATGTGCTAACAAATGAATCAAGGGGTTGTAGGTAGAATAGAATAGAGCTGGAAGGGACCTTGGAGGTCTTCTAGTCCAACCCCCTGCTCAAGCAGGAGAATCTATACCAGTGGTGGTGAACCTATGGCACGGGTGCCAGAGGCAGCACTCAGAGCCCTCTCTGTGGGCACGTGCACTGTCGCCCCAGTCCTAGGCCTTCAGCTGGGTTTTATAAAAACTTTTCGCTTTAGGCCTCTGCCGCCGTGTACAAAAAAAAAAGGTTCAATCAATCAATTTCAATTTCTCGCAGGGAAAAAAAAACTTGCAAAGTGGGAATTGATTGATTGATTGAACTTTTTAGTCCCATGATCAGTCTGTCGTTACCACCACAGCCACGCCCAGCCAATGGGCCACACCCTCCCGGCACCCAACAATGCATAAGTGGTTTTGGGTTGCAGTTTGGGCACTCAATCTCTAAAAGGTTCGCCATCACTGACCTATACCATCTCAGACAGGTGAATGTCTAGTCTCTTCTTAAAAATCTCCAGTGATGGAGTGCCCACGGTTTCTGAAGGCAAGCTGTTCCACTGGTTGATTGTCCTCACTGTCAGGAAGTTTCTCTTTAATTCCAGGTTGCTTCTTTCTTTGATCAGTTTCCAACCATTGTTTCTTGTCCTGCCCTCTGGTGCCTTGGACAGTAGTTTGATGCCCTCTTCTTGTGGCAGCCCCTCAAATACTGGAATACTGCTATCATGTCTCCCCTATTTCTTCTTTTCTTTAGACTACTAGCCAAACCCAAGTCCCGTAGCCGTTCTTTGTATAAGTACCTTCTCCTTATTATATTTATTATTTTATTTTTTAATTCTGGTGACTGCTTTTATATTAATCCTTCTCCATGCTGCCAGTTTTGAATTTTACCATTTTATCATTAAAGCTGCATACATTAAATCACTTTTCATCACATGGAATTTAAATTCTTTCAATAGCCAATTGCTTGTGCTTAATGGTGAATTTTTGGATTGCACTACTAATTTGGGTTAAAAGCCACTGACACTATTGATACTTTTTTTGTAAGAGTAATTCTTCTGCCCTCTACTTTCTCACTAACCACTTGTGGATTCCAAATTACATTTCAGCAGTTACTCAAAGAAAGGACAGGTTTTCAAGGTGCTACAATGTCTATACTCTAATGTTGAGTCATAGACCTGTTTTCTATCTATTCCTCTGCCACAAACCCTCTGCATATATTACCAATCACAAATGTGACATTCCAAATTGAAATGTGCATCTACATGTTATATAATTAATATTTTTAAAATCTACTGCATTCTAAATCCAAAGTCATAATCCTAAACCATGCTGTGTTACTTACTGCACATATATTAGCATAATAAAAATGAATGATACATGAAACAAAGTGTAATTAGATTAATGCTACTTAGCAAAAGGTTGCTAAGGTTATTTATTAAGATGCATTGTAGCTGGAAGAGCTGCAGTGCATATCCTTTCTATTGTGTTCAGCAGTGAGCATTGTTGGAAAAAGCCAAGGTACCATATGAAATGGACCAGGAACCTGTTCTGGCATAAATGTTCCTATCAGTGTTCTTAAAAGGTGCTAACATGAAAGGCATGCAGAACAGATAAGCTGACGTAAACTAAAAATAACATTTGCGTAGATGTCCTTAAAAATAGTTTGGACCAGTGATTCATTGCCAGGCAGTTTTCATAACTTTAGTTAATATTATGTTGGAACAAATAGCATGCTTGCTATAACTTTCCAGATCAAAGCCACTGTTACTATGCATTATGACAGTTAATTATTATTAGATTTCCTTTGAAAGTATTACAACTGGTTTGAGGATTCTTCATACAGCAAATATTCCAAAATTACTTAAAAACATTTGTCTTGTAGACAGAATACATCAGCTGCCTGTTTTAGCTTCTAGCACTCAGCTGACCTTGATTGTACTTGGATGGAGAACCATCAGCCTCTTAGCTAGACTGGGAAGGGGAAAATACAGTGACAAACCATTTCCATAAGGCTGCCAAAAATATTGCATGAGTCAAGCTTGACTGGAGGGCATATTTACTTTTTAGTTGAGAAACCTGGTTGGATTAAAGGAGTTGTAAAATTAAAACACACCTGTTTGCTCTTTTCCATCCATAGAACAGGAACAATAGGCATATGATGAAGAATAGATATGGAGATAATTGTTGAAATAATTGTAAATTAACATTTTGCTGGGATAAATACAAATAGAAAATGGTATGTTTTGCAGGTTTGTAAACAAATGCCAACAGAAAGGATTTAGAATAGTTAATAGTTAAATATTTCCGCAAACCAGCATGTTTCAAATTTAGCAACTTTAAGATGTAAGGA